CTGTCTGATCATTCAGAAGTGCAAACCACAGTTCTATGAATAAGATGTTTATATTAGAAAGGGAAAGCAAATCAACTCCTTGAAATAAATTTTACTCTAAAATTCTTCTGTCAACATTCTTGAAAAATGACTACAAGAAATAAAAAATCAGAACGCAGCAGTTACAAAAATCCCACCATGCCTAATCAAAACCACTATGGATGAAACAGAGGCCCTCTCTGCACTCTCCTTTTCATCCATGTTCACCGCGGAGTCCTCCAAACAACTCTGCACTAAAATCAAACTAAATCTTTTTTTAATCCAGCCCCCCCCCCGTTCTGCACTAAAATCAAGTTCAACCTTCTTTTTTATTTGGGGTTTCCCCCCCACTCTGCATTACATTCCCTCCCTTCAGTGGTCAGTCCGGTTTCAGCCTGCTGTTGCCCCGGGTTATTTGGATGCTGTTTTGCTGTGGACTTAAATTGCCTCGACTTGAACATTGAGAAAATATGGAATGGCAGGCAAATGCAGAAAGAACCAGAATTAGGATGATAATTGTCTCCCCCCACACAACCCTGATTAAAAAAATATTTTTTAATGTGCATCACATCATGGCTTCTGAGGTGGCACTTAAGAGGTACATGAGTTAGAAGACACCTGGAGTGGATTTTAACTTTCCAGGGCAAACAAAGATTTGGAAGGTGGATTAAATTTCCCAAATATTTTAGAAGATATCCTAGGGATATCTACTATCAACATTAGTCAGGAAAACCGCAGCACATTAAGAATAAATACACTGTTACCCATTTGAATGTCACCTTTTTCAGTCCATATGCTAAAAATCTAACAAACAAGAAGTTAGAAAACCAATTTCTTTATGCTGAATGATGGGATAGATGGAGCCTGGCATATTTCAGGCTCTGATTTTATTTTATTTTAGCTATGTGTGGGTGCACTTTTTGCAGACATGAATTCTGGCTGAATGAGTCACACATGATGCAAAATAAGCCCACACCTTAATAGAAGTCTCCTTCTACAAAGTCAGAGCAGTGTTCTGTCTGGCTCAGTTTGTACTCCCTCTGGCTATGGCTCTGTAGGGTCTCAGACAATAGAAGGACATGATCAAACCTTACTACTGGAGCAAGATGCTTAAATTGCAGATACCAGAGGCTTTAAGCAGGCTTAATCAATTTCTTCTTGGCTGCTGAAAGGCCTTGGTCAATTTCATCTTCAAAGTGGAAGAGTATGCCCTGTATTAGTTTACAAGGAAGTTCTGAGACTAAGAATGTGCATCTTGGGAAGGGTGCACCTCTGAACAAACACACAACAAGATACTAGAGTTTTCTCACCAGAAAAGTTGCTCTACTCAAAGTTTTAGAATTTTAAGGAAGCATCTTTAGAAGAAATCCTCCACAGAAAAGAGAGACTAAATTGCTAGATTTTAAATGAGCCCAGCCTAGCCTGATCTCCTCAGATCTTGGACAGGAATGGTCAGTACTTGGATGGGAGACCAGGAAGGGGGTTGCTAATGCAGAGGAAGGCAGTGGCAAACCACCACCTGCTCATCTCTTACTCTGAAAGCCCCATGGTCCTGGGGTCTCCAGGAGTCCATTGTGACTTGATGGCATACTGTTATCAACCCTACTTCAGCATAAAATGCAGGCGCTAGACCACTGGACCATTCTGACGCTATGTACATATTAAATGCTTAAAATCCAAGACAAAGCTAATTCTCTAAATTTCAGCAAAAAAGATGCTTGCTTATGGAAATCCTTGGGTTTGATTTCTTGGCTGATATCGTAGGTATCTCAGAAACATGTTGGAAAGTGGAAAATCTACAAGATACAGTCATTCCTGGGTATAAGCTCTATAGGCAGGACAAGGAGGGACGGGTTGGCAGTGGGGTTGCACTGTACCTCAAAGAGGGCATACAGTAAGTTAGAAAACATCAGGGGAATTAACTTCCGAACAGAAACAATAATGGGTGCAAATACTGGGCCTTAAAGGTGGGGGTGTACAAGTGCCTACCTGATCAAACCCTTGAGGCTGATCTAGAGATGGAGAAGGAAATAAGGGAGGTGACTAAAGCAGATGTTATTATACTGGGAGACTTTGACTACTCTCACATTGACTGGGTAAACGTGTGCTCAAGTCATGCTGTAGAAGTAAGATTCCTAGACACCATAAATGACTGAGCACTGGAACAGCTGGTCACAGCTGGTCAAGTCGAGAGGGGTAGTGATCTTGGACTTGGTTCTGACCACAGTGCTAACAAGCTCAACATTCAGGTCAATGGAAAGTTACCCCTAAAGCCCAAAAAGGTAACACTTGATTTCAAAAGAGGGAACTTTACAAAAATGAGGGGAATAGTAAAAAGGAAGCTGAAGGGGAAACACAAGAGGGTCAAATCCCTAGCCGATGCTTGGAAGCTATTTAAAGCCACACTAATTGAAGCCCAAATACAATGCATTCCACAGGTTAGGAAAGGCACTGCCAAGTCTAAAAGGAGGCCTGTGTGGTTAACAACACCAGTCAAGGAAGCCATAAAAAGTAAAGAGGCTTTTTTAAAAAAGTCAATAAATAGGCATGCAAAAAAAGACTTTGAGAAGCGCGTTGCTAAAAGCATCAAGACAAACGAACGTTTTTTAAAATATATACGGAGCAGGAAACCAGCCAGAGAAGTAGTGGAGCCTTTGGATAATAAAGGAATAAAGGAAGATGGGCAGATGGCAGAGAAGCTCAATGACTTTTTTGCATCTGTGTTCACTGTGGAAAGTGTGGGGCATGCACCCATGCCATAGCCTCTATTTTCAGGAAGGGAGTCTGAAGAACTGAGCCAAATTGAAGCGACCAGAGATGAAATTCTAGACCTACTGGGGAAATGTATTTATTTTATTTTTGAGATTTATATCCCACCCTACCCTTCAAGTGGGCTCAGGGCAGCTCACAACACATAACCCAACAATAAAATCTTACATTAATTAATAAAACAGTTCATTAAAACATCAGCTCAAACAATTAAGATTTAGTCCACTGGTTTCAATACCTACGAACAACACCGTGAAATTTTTTTTCTTCTTTCTGTGTCTCCTGGGCTTATGCCATGGAGGGTGTGGTGCATTCTGCATAAACAGATCACTCAGTCCAGGCACCCAAGATGTAAGTAGAGCTGTGGTCACTTGAGTTATTAAAATTAAAAACTGGTAAGTCTCCAGGTCCTGATGGCATACACCTGAGAGTTCTAACTCAGATGTGAGATAGTTGATCTCCTAACCCATATATGTAACCTAACACTAAATTCAACCACTGTACCAGAAGAATGGAGAGTAGCACATGTGACACCAATTTTTAAAAAGGGATCCAGAGGGGAACCAGGAAATTACAGGCCAGTCAGCCTAATGTCTGTCCCAGGCAAATTAGCAGAAACTGTGATTAAAGATAGAATTGCTAGGCACATAGAGGGACACAGCCTGCTAAGGGAAAATCAGCATGGCTTCTGCAAAGAGAAGTCCTGCCTCACTAACCTTTTGGAGTTCTTTGAGAAAGTGAACAAGCATGTAAACAATGGTGACCCGGTAGACATTATATACTTGGACTTTCAAAAGGCTTTTGATGAGATACCTGACCAAAGATTCCTGAGTAAACTTAGCAGTCATGGGATAAGAGGGTGGGTTCTCTTATGGAAACAGCAGGAAGCAAAGAGCAGGAATCAATGGACAGTTCTCCCAATGGAGGGAAGTAAGCAGTGGGGTCCCACAAGGATCAGTCTTGGGGCCGGTACTATTTAATTTATTCATAAATGATCTGGAAGTAGGGGTGAGTAGTGCTGTGGCAGATGACACAAAATTATTCAGGATGATGAAAACCAAGGGTGACTTGTGAAGAGCTCCAAGAGGACCTCCACAAACTGGATGAGTGGGTGACAATGTGGCAAATGAAGTTCAGTGTCGGTAAGTGTAAGGTGATGTACACTGGAACAAAAAAATCCCAACTTCAAGTACAGGCTTTCTGAGACAGAGGGAAAAAGATCTTGGGGTTGTAGTGGATAGCTCAATGAAAGTGTCAACCCAGTGTGCTGTAGTGGTGAAAAATGCAAACTCAGTGATAGGGATTATTAGGAAAGAGACTAAGAATAAAAGCGGTCAATATTGTAATGCCCCTGTATAGATCTATGGTGCGGCCTCATTTGGAATACTGTATACAGTTCTGGTCACCGTGGCTCCAAAAGAACATTGCACAGCTGGAAAAAGTACAGAGGAGGGCAACCAAGATTAGGAGGTTGGAGCACCTCCCATATGAGGGAAAGCTGAAGAGTCTGGGACTTTTCAGTTTAGAAAAGAGATGACTAAGGGGGAACATGCTAGAGGTTTATAAAATTATGCATGGGGTAGAAAGAGTTGACAAAGAGAAAGTTTACTCTGTCTCCCAAAATATTAGAACTTGAGGGCATCCAATGAAGCTGATGGGCAGTAGGTTCAGGATGGACAAAAGTACACAGAGTGTAATTCAAACATGGCATTCGCTGCCAGAGGATGTAGTGATGCCCACAGGAATAAACCACTTTAAAGGGGGATTAGATAGTCTATCAATGACTATGGTGACTGAGGGGAACCTCCACATTCAGAAACACTAATCCTCTGAATCCCAGAGCCAGATGGCAACATCAGGGGAAAACCTCAGCCTCTATGCCCTGTTGTTGGCCATGCAGAGGGACTGGTTGGCCACTATGTGAAACAAGATGCTGGACTAGATGGACTATTGGTCTGATCCAGCAGGTCTCTTCTTATGTTCTTATGACATTGGGATAACAGATTCCCACCAATGGAGAACAGTACTCTACTACGCAGACCAACAGCTTGATTCCAATACAAGGCACCTTGGCATATTCACAAGATCTAATCCACCACTGGGGTCTCTTCTGAGTCCATATATGACAGAACAATGTGAGGACCAACTGACAACATTGCCAACGCAGCCTGTGGCAGTGAAGACACACAACTGAGTCAATAAAGCACCCTCACCTAACACGTTTCCTGAAGGCACCTCTTCCAGCTGCTCCAGTTCTCTTCCCATCAGTAAGTAAAGATCTTCTAATGTGCAACAAGCCAAATGAGGCACTGGTGGCAGGTCATCGGTAGCAGAACACCCTGAAGGCAGCTAAAGCCAAGAAGAAGGGAGGGAAAGAAATTGCCAAGTAACAGACCACTGCTAGACACATTCTTCACACACACCTTAGTGCAATGTTACACAGAACAACGAACATTCTTACTTTTCACAGAACTGCAGCTTAAAGAAAATACATTACAAGATTATCAGTAATAAAAAAGAAATGGATTACACTGAAAATGAGTGGGGGGGGGTTGTCTCCAAAAACATCACCATCCCATCCATTCCTCACCGGTCCCCAACCTTGTAACCTCAAAAACAACAAAAGCTGCTGGGGAGAAAAGTTAAAATGGGCAAAGCCTGTGCAAACCCAGAGGGACCCCTACTTTCCCCAGAGCATCTTACCTTGTGCAATGATTCAGCGGGATCATATTTTGGCCCAAGAACGAAGAGTTTTTGCCCCTTCTTCACAACTCCACTGAACACCCTTGCAAAAGCAACAAAAACCTCCTTGATTTCAGCTTCCTGCTTCACAGTTGCCATAGTCAAGGTCTCCATTTGATTAACAGGTGGCTGATCATCCTCTAATGAAGGGTTGAAAAATATTGTCACATACTTCCATATCATTTCATCTTGCATTCTAAGGTCGTGCCCATTCACCACACCACACACACAATACCCCACAATATTAAAATTTAGGTGAAGTCTGATTATAAGAAGAGCATCATAACCTATGGACTGCCTGCATCCAGGCTGGCAAAGAAAAGCCAGTTTAATGTATTGTGTCTCCAATAGCTTCACTTGTCAGTTAGCTGTTACAAGAGCAATAAACATCAATCAAAATAAAATTCAGTGAATCATACAGTACTGGGGGGGGGGATCTTATACTTGGGAAACAACCTGTCTCATAAAAAACTGACAAGGCTGGAGGCTGGAAAGCAAGAGAATGGACTGGATCCCACAACCCACTTGTTCAAGGATAGGGGATCTTTAGCATGTTTCTTGACACGGATAACCTTATTTGCAGCCACCATGCTGAAGTGATCTTCAACTCACATCTCCCACCCCATGGCCTAGCCTAGTTTTTTTTTCAGTTTGACTTTGGTCTTCAAATGGCAGATACCCTTTGGAGTACATTCCCTTGTAGCTGCTGCTAGGAGACAACCCGCTGTATGAGCCATCTAAAGAGTTTGCCCTGACCTGGATAGACCAGGCAAGCCCAATCTTGTCAGATCTTGGAAGCTAAGCAGGGTTGACTCTGGCAAGCACTTGAATATTCCCTTGGAATACTAGCAGTCAGGAGGTGGGGGCAGGCTTTATTCAGCCAGCTCTCTGGATATTCTCCACGCCCCCGGTAGGGGTCAGTCACCAGAGGTCGCCATGACTTCCAGGTGTGCGCACACATACGCACAAACATATAAAAATACAAAAAAATACTCCCCCCCCCCAAGTGTTTGAGGCGGGGGTGGGGAATGAGCTGATCCCAACGGGTATGAGACGACTACAGCCAGAGCATAGAATTGTTCCATCATGGCTCCCACTCCTTGGAATGGGATTCCTCTTTGAAGCTCTTCAGAAAAAAGCTACAAGTCTTGCTTGTTTACTAGAGCTTTAGATGGGCTATGAATAGCAGGCATCTAGGAGGGGGTGGGCTATATGGAGTTTGTTTTTTGTGTATGTAATTACTACCCTAAACTGCCTTCAAGAGGAAAAGCAGGGTAATGAATATTTTAATAAATAATCCCAGTGACTCTAGAAATACCACCAGTCTTAATTCAACTTATTGCTTCTCAGAAAGGCATCCTACAGCCAAGTCACATGCTCCAATGGTTAAGCAATGATTGCAAACTGCATCCCTTCTTTATTCAAGAGAAATCCAGTAAATTCAACTGCCTGTTTTCTTTGCATACCTTTCATCCCTCCTGCCTTTATACTTTGGTCCATTGGGCTTCCTCCAGCATCTGGCTGCGCCAACTCTGGCCTCTGAGTAGCAGCCAACTTTTCAGCATGCCGCTGCCTTACAAGTTCACGTCTGTGGGCAATTTCTTCTTGTGACAGAGGCCTACATACCATTCAAAACAGAGTCATTTATTTAAACTATTCCTATACTGCATTTCCACCCAGAGTCTCCTCAAGGTGGCAAATTTTTCCACACTAAAACAGCACTTAAAATACAGTATATGTAAAAAAATTGTTAAAAACATATCAATGCACATGACACCAAAACCAGGGAGGAAGGGTCAACCAGTTTTCATCTGTTGGTGGAAGGCAATGACAGAAAAATCTCTCTTGGAGGGAGCCTCTAAAGTTTTGGGGTTGTGACTGAGAAAGCCCTTTCTTGGGCTGCTACTTGTCTAGCTCAGATAATGCAGGGGCCCCTGAAGCACGGCCTCTGAAGAGGACTGCAGGGAATGGGTAAGTTCCTATGGGAGAAAGTTATCCATTCTAGTGATTAGATGGTGCATTTTGGGGACGCAGTTTACAAAAGCAATTGCTGAAATATTCTGGCAACCAGACAGCATTATTTAAGCCATCTCCTGCTTACATGAGTACCTCAATAAAACCCTATATCAGTGACTGACCAATGAATTTTGGGCAAGGTATTCTAAGCACGGCCAGATATCCATACACTTTTCCTTGCTGCAATAGCACGGCAAAACTTTTGGGGACATTTGCCACAAATATAAAAAGAAGGTAATACCACACTTTTTGTTTTTGCAAGCCAAGCAGTCTGGACTGTTACAGGTAAGGAACAAGCACTGGAAAGTCATGCCAACAATAAGCTGTTCTAACCATGCAGTAGCAGACACTAGTTTTTAATTGCTTTGCAATGATTTACAGGAATTCCGAATTGCAAACTAAGGAAACTTATAGCAGGCTTCAATTTTAACTAACATAAAAGAAAAAAAGAAACCATACACATGTTATTAACATAAAATACATAGGATGCTCAGTAATTCTGCAATTATCTAATTAGTTAAAGGACGACCCAAAGACTCTCCTCCCATTTAAAATCTGTTCCACGTGTCTTAGTTGGAGCCATCTGTAGATTCTCCCCTCTGCAAACGAAGAGCACACTTCAAAGCAGCCACAATAAACTGTTCTTCTTCAACATCAAATGAATTGTTTACTTAAGGAAGAAGTTTCTTTGCCAAACAAAACTTTTTTGAAAATGCAAATAAACCAACAAAATGGCTGGCATATAGGTTACGTCAACAGAAGGAGAGAACTTTTATCAAGGTCCTGAGGAGGGAAGGGAAGGAGATTTGTACAAACGAAGAAATTAAAAGAGCTATGGAAGAATACTATAGAGCTCTTTATGGCAAGACCATAGTGGATATAGAGAAAATACAACGCTATTTACAGAAGCATAAGTTACAAAGATTTACAGAAGAACAAAGAAAAGAATTAAATCAACGTATTTCGATGATGGAAGTAGTAGAGGCGATTAAAAGACAGAATAGAGGGAAAGCCCCAGGACCGGATGGTCTGCCAATAGAATTTTACAGGATCTTTGAAGAACAGTTAGCTTTAATTTTTAAGGACATATGTAATTTGGCAAAAGAGCAATGAACTACTCCAGAAACATGGAAAGAAGCTATAATATCATTAATACATAAACAAAATACCGATGAAAAAGAAATGAAAAATTATAGGCCAATATCACTGTTAAATGTGGATTATAAAATATATGCATCAATTTTGGCACAAAGACTGAAAAAAGTATTAGTGGAAATAATAAATAAAGATCTATCAGGCTTTTTACCTAAAAGGCAGATGAGAAATAATTT